TTTCTGTGTTTTCTTTTTAATAATCCTGAAAATAAGCATATTTACCTATTTCTGCAGTCATAATAAACAGGGACCTTATGGTGTTTGGATACATCTGTTTGAATCTAGATAAACAGTGTTTGTGAGGGATGAAATTTTGAATCCTTTAAAGAAATGCGGGTCACAGCGCTGTGATCTGTGGCTATTTCTGTTGGTCAGGCCCATGTTCAGTCATGTGCTAATGAGATGAGATGAGGTCAGCTGGTTACCTGAATACACTGAATGACCAGGTTTTTCCATGATGTCAATGCCCAGACTCATCAGTCTCAAGTTAAAAGAGTGTTTAAGAGAGCTTGTGCATAATTTTTACACACAAATAGGACACTACTGAGAGCAGACTTTAACCTTTAACATTTGCGAATCTTGATGCTCTGCAGAAGGCAACTCCACCAACCTTCATCAGAAGACAAAACTTGTTGAGAAATGAAGGCATCGCTGGATGGGAAGAAATTCAAAAGTTGCTCTAACAAGAAAGCCACGTGGTCCAACAGATTATAGTAATTTTTTTGTTTTTATTGATTTATTTTTACAGTGAAAGATACTATCGGTTTTGTGTGTCTAGCATGGACAGCCAAGATTAGAAACATTTAATTTATCAGGTTATAAATCTTGTATATCTATATCTCAACATCCAATCAATGAATAGTTCAGAGAAAAAAAACTGACCGTGGTCGGTCACTGAGTAAAGACTAAGGAAATGGGAATAGGCCCACTCCGAAGCAAATGATACATGAGACAACTAGAAAGAAATTCCATTTCACTTCCAAACTACTGTAAAGACAGCATTTCTAGTTTTAAGTATTGAAGTCTAAAAGGTTATTCTTTTCCCTCAACTTCCTATTCAGTGTAGAGAAGCTTTTGTTAAAACAACAACACAATTTTATGACCAAATAACCATCCGCTAAATGGAAAACAGGAGAGGATCGATTTAATGTTTGAGCTCCTGAGCATATATGAATAAAATACAGCCTCAAAAGCATAGCTGCGGAAAATAGCTGAATGAGGGGTAGCCAAAGAGGAATAATGAGCATTCCTCAGATGACAGTTATGATTGGTAGGTGTGAATGAGTTGCAGGAAAGCTCTTCCAATTGCCCACAATGCAACATTATAAAGCATGCCTCAAATGGACTAAATGAAATGGTCCGTACAGTAACTTGCAGTTATAAATCCATTAAAAGGGAAAAGTTATTCGCATAAGTCATTTTTCAGGTGAGGTTTTCCAGCACAACAAACTTAAAGTTCTCATGTGAACGTACCAAAACCATGAACACATTATAAAGAGGCCCTAATCAAACATACTTTAAACTTACTTTGTTCTTTGCAGCTAAATATTTGCTGAAATGTGACGAGAGTTTTTTGTAATTGTTTCTTCAAGTCTAAAGTTCAGCAGAAGGTAAGTGAATCCATTTATTTATTTATTTTTGTTAGATTTCGATAGTTTCATTAAACAATAATAAAGTTTAGGCTTGCAGTGAAACAGTAACAGATTGATAAAGGATCTCTGATCGTGGCGTTCACATTACAAAATCTTTTTGCAATGCGACTGAATGCAACTCTTAAACAAAAGCAGGAACTGTGGGTGCAACCTAAGGCAGAATTTATGACATAATTGGGTGGGTCAATGCAGGGAATGAGTTCAACAGATTTAAAACCGCTGGTGGAGAAGGGGGGTACAAATGCTTTGAAATGTTGGTGTGTTGGTATATATGTGCTCTGAATGATTGAATATGAAGTACATGCAGTGTGAAAACGATGAAAAATGGGCAGGAATACTGTTCTGGTTTGAGAGTGCCATTTAGCATGAATCAAAAGCAGCTTTCCTGGCTTCTGCTCTATATTCTGCTGTCTGCCAGGAAATGGGATTTTTTCATATTTTTGCAGGTAAAGTCCTTGCAGAAAGGAATCAGATGAGGTATTTTTTCCCCTCAAATGTTAAAAAGTGTTGGACATTTTGTCTAAGCTCTCTGGAAACAGAAGAAAGCTTAATTTCTGAGACAGCAGAGGGGGGTCTCCTACTCACAAACCCCTTCTGGACCCCTTGCTGAATTGAATCCTGACTGCTTGTAAAATACTGAGCCCTCTATTAAGTAATCTACTACCAACTGGCCTTTGACTGGCCTAAAGTGATTCTGCTAATCATCACTGTACATGGGGATCATTTATGAGTTTTATTCATGGGGAGAAATTAAAGTTATTCTGTCCAGCAACATAGTTAATTACAGTTTTAAAATAAATGACTATCCTTGGAGACAACAGTGTTCATGTTGGCAATGACAGAGAAACCTGGAGTGGAGTGGCTGGGTGGAACAGCCTGTCTGGTCAAGAGTGTTAGTTGCTGTTGGACCTCTGAATTCAGAGTTTTTCTGTCCATTACAAACACTAGTTTTGTTGTGGTTAATAGAAGGCGTCTGTCCTGAAAGGGTCAGCGATCAGTTGTTTTTCTTCCATACTCTAGATCTTATCTGGAAAAATATCTTGCAGACATTTGGGCAAATACACAGCAGTGAACTGGTCGCCATACAGGTGGTTATGGGGGAGTTATGGTTAAATGGCAATGAGGAATGTGGTCCACTGTTTTTTGGCGTTTGTCAAGGCTTCAGCTGAAGAATATACTTGATGATGTTGTAGATGGCTGTTTTAAAAGAAGGTCGTTTGAATATGATTGGCTAAGGATACTCAAGATTAAATTAACATGCACTGGTTGGTTAAAACAAATAAAAACAGATGCCAAACATTTGGCATAGGACATGTTTAAAGACACAATGGGAAATATTTCTTAGCTGTCTTAAGATAATGGAAGAAGGAACACCAACAGGCATCTTTCAGTAAAGGAGTAAACATGTAAACTGCTAATGATTTTCTGAGGATGAAACTTTGGGGAGCCTTTCTCCTACAGAGAAAGACCAACATACTCATCACCGACACATTAAAGTACAGCAAGATAAAAGTGAACGACCCAAAATTATGACAGTTCTATCTGATGGTTTGTGTTTAGTTTCTATCACACTTCATTCAAAGGAAGAGAGAGCAAAAAAAAAAATCACTCAAAACCACAAAAATGATTTATAAGGTTTTACTGCAGGAACCATGAGAAAATGACTCAAGTCTTTGGGATTCAGCACTGTATGCTCTGCAGTCTGTCAGATTACAGGTCAAGACCCATTAATGATTCACAGAGAGGTTTAACTGAATTGTAACACTGTGCTACAGATCTAAACAGACCAAAATCAGGGGCCCCTTAAAACCCTGAGAACCCCACCTCCCACCCAAACGCCCACCCTTCCCATCACCACATTCATGGGTGGTGTGTATGTAGAGCACACACACTCTAAACTCCCTTTTGAATGTTAACTTTCATTTTATTTCAAATTACACTGCAAGCACTGATCACTTTGACAGCTTGAACAAAATCCAGATCGATGTGATCATATTGTATCAAACAAGAATGCTGTGGTCACCGTTTGCCAACTGTGTGCTTCAAAATATTCACAGATGGTGGGAAGTGCAAAGTTAACAGCCTTAAGCTACATGGAAATGAACATTACAGACCATCCTGATAATGCTCTCGATAGTTTTTTTTCTGTTTCTGACTCTTCTACATCAACAACAACAGGTCAGATTAGCTTGAAACGTTAGAGTTCTGGCCAAGTGCACCACCAAAAACTTGCTTATATGTATTTTAGTCATTCTAGGATTTGTCGCATTTGTTGGAGGCTCTACTGTGAATTGTATTTTTTCCCTGCATCATGTTAATTTTCATAGTTTTGAAACTTTGTTAACTTTCTATCTCTTTTAGCTGTGCATGAGGCGTAGCCACAGCTCCGAATAAATAGAAGCCATTTCTGTGGTCATTTTAACACATCTGGATAAGAAATTGAAGCGTACATAATCTGATTCCACGCTATCACCGTCATAAACACATCGCGTCAGGTCTGCTTTCCCTCCCAGCTTTGGCTAACTTGATTTCTTTGCTTCTGCTGCTTGCCAGTTTCACTAGTTCCTCACAGAGCATGTAATTATGTAAGTCCAACCCAGCGAGTTGTCATGACTAGCTCATCCAGTGCTCCTTGTGGATCAGGAGGCTGTCTGACATCCCACTCTCTGAGTCTGTAGGTTGAGTAGCAATAATTAAGAGCATAACTCTCAGCTACAGCCCTTACAGTAACATTTTCATGATACATACTTTCTAGCACATAAGAATAGTTTGAGAACATGTAAGCAATGGCTTTAAACTTCATTTTGATTCGAGAAGTGTTTCAAATTTGTACTTAACGCGAAACCACAAATAATGTTTGAAGCAAACTTCAATGCAGATGATTCACCAAGTTAGAATGCACCTTCACATCATTTCCTTTTTTTGCCCCCAAACTACCAGATTGTGGCAAACATCAAAATTCAGGCACGCAGCACTCAGTGGCATATTGGTCATTATGAAACTAAAAATACTTTAGCCCCAGAAATACCTCCCATAAAACACTTCTGAGCATTCACATTAGCATGTCTTACATCTTTATAAAGTTAAGGAAAGTTTAAGACTTGGTTTAACATCCACACTGTAAAGCTGGGATTTCAGGTGGCTGCCTTAATGCAAAGCTCTACTCTCTCTATTAGCTGAATAGCAGAGATCCCTCAAAAACCACTGTGACCATTCGGTGGTGAGCTGGTTTACTGAGGCGGAGTGGAGGTGAACTGAATGGTCTGCAGTGAGAGGCTGTGGGTTGAGTTTCTCTGAGGTTATGGTCATTCTCCCCTGGGAAAGTGGTCAGGCCTGGCTGTTTACCTTGGAGTAATCCTGCCCCTCCCCTTGAACTGTTCACTCTCCACTTGGTAAGTTACGATTACCTGTGCTAATGCTCGCCTGTTGTTTCTGACCTCGTCGTGACAATATAATGGGGGAACTTCATTTCCAGAGAATGTAGAACCTGTTTAGGAATAGATCCATTTCTAAGTTTCTGTGCGGCTCTCTTTTTGTGTGTGTTTGCGTGCTTCATGGGTGCCACCTCCATGTCACAGCAGGTGTGTGTGTGAATGGCTGGGGAGGGAGGTAAGAGAAGGAAGGTTGGGCAGGGCGTAGAGACTGGATAGGAGCTGAAGTAGTACATGCATCTTCACCCAAAGTGAAGTTTGACTTTCTCTCTCACACAGGCTCCCTCGCAGAGCTGCAATGAAAAACTTTTCTTAGCTCTGCTCTCAGCTCCAGTCACCAGAGATGATGCTTCAGAGGAAAGCTGCATGAGGATACTGCAGAACAGAGCCGAGACATAGCTCTGCAGCCGAGGGGCTGCTGTTCTTTCTATCTTTGTCCCTCTTTTAATTTGGACACTGGGGAGAAATAAATAGCTCAACACACTCTGTTGGGAGGCAAATGAATGGAGGAGACTCGAGGGGGATTTCACAAGGCTGTATTGACACCAGTGGATTTGGAAACATGTTCTGGATGGACCAAATTGCATTTGGCATAACAATTCTCATCATTATTTTGTAAAAGTGTTTTTTTCCCTGAGGACCCTGGACATTTCGGGGGATTTTTGCAAGAAAAACAAAAGCATATCATGTAAGTTTAATTTTTTTTCTTAAAAAAAAGAAATGAAATCTTCTATTTGGAAGATGTGAAGATGTAATGACGTATGAAGGGAGTTGTAGTTAATTTCATGCTGTATCATAAAATGAAGTGTATTACGTAAGCATTGACTTTACTTTGTCCTACAGATTTTTGGCTCAAGCATGTGCTCTTTAATAATGCTTCATCAGTGGAGTCTTGCTGTGCTCCTGCTGTGCTCCCCAGTGACTCACGATGGGCGATCAGTTGATGCACTTATTAACAGAACGTGAGTTCTTTTTTATTCATTTTTAAAAGTTTAGACAGATTGTTAAAAAAGAAGAAAAAAGATTTTTACCTTTAGAAACCGTCTTGTTGCTCATTTAAAAGACTTAACAAAACTTAATATATATTTATCTTCTGTGAAACATTTACAAAAGAAGGCGCGGTATTTCGACATTAAGAACACAAGGTTCTCTCTCTGCTAAGTTGGTCTTAAAACTCAGAGCTGTGACAGGTCTCAGACATGTTTATGCTGCCACCTACTGTATTGAGGTTTCCTGAAGCTTGACCTTAAATTTCAGCTGCCACCGCTTCTAAAACTATCCCACAATAAACTCAACACTTCGGTGCCATGTAACATTCCAGGGCCAAAAGGCTATCAGAGAGATGAAATATAACCTTTAGAGCAGGTTTTTTTACCTTTCTAAAAGGTTAACTGTGCATTGTCTTTGTACTTTATAGGGCTTTTGAATGCAAGGTTTTGATTTAAACAAGAAACCTCCTAATCTGATTCTCTCTCTTTTATTAAAAATGAATGTGTCTGTGTCACTTTGCGGCTGTCAGGAGGAGGTCGGTGAGCCACGCCCAGCTGATGCATGACAAGAGTCGCTCCCTACACGAGTTCAGGCGGCGCATGCTGCTACAGGAGCTGCTGGAAGAGGTGCACACAGCCGATGAGCACGCGCCGCCCGTGCAGAGCAGAACCTCCAGCCAAACCTTCAGTGGAAGCCCCCTACGCCAGAAACCCCCGGGGGCCACCAAGAACCTCCCCGAGAGAATCGGGCCAGACGGGGAAGGCCCTAACCTCCCCCAGGAGACCAACAAGGCTGTTGCTTATAAGGATCAGCCGCTAAAAGTTGCCACCAAGAGGAAAAAAAAGGTGAGGTTAAGCCGGCGCAATGAAAAGAAGAGGTGGAGAGCAAGGTCTGCCAACACAAAGGGGCCACGAGGGACACAGCCTGCCTAAAAGACCACCAGAAGGTTTTTTTTTTGCGTGGTGCTGCACTAAAACACTGACACAGACTGACTGATGGCTGGCAGACTGTTTACGGTGCCAGGGTCTTGCTTTTACGATAAAATGTTTGCCGTTTCGTTTGCTCACACAACCCAGAGTTTCACCATTAAAGCCTCCATACTGTATTTATTTGAAAGCTCTTTTCACCTCCAATGCCGTTCAATTCAGTGGGGTAAATTGTCATTTCAAATCAGCTGTGTGCACAGGTGGAGCACAGAGGGAAGTACTCACTTCCTATGTAGAACAATAACAACAAAAAAGGCAATGCAGAGTGATCTGATTTGTTTGGCTCTGTGCACGTTGACTATGAAGAACTTGGAGTCGAGACGCTCCGTGCAGTGGTTCAACCAACACATCTGTTCTAATAGTTCCGACATAATTTATTTCACCTTGAAAATGTATATTATTTTGTGAATGTATCACGGTGCTGCTGATTAAATTCCATTATGCACTTTAGTTACATCCTGTATACGTTCTTTTGTGGTTGTGATTTAATGTAGTGATTTTTATCGATGAAACTACTTTCCTTTCCCACCTCAGATCCCTCATGGACTCATAACTTATTGGAAGCTTCATCAAACCCACTCCCATCACTTTGCATTACAGTTCTTTTTTCATGGAATATGCCAGAGTAGGGCTCTCAGACTCAATGTTCTGCACTTGCACTGAGGGAATGTTGTACATGTTTCCAGTTAATCAAACATTAAAAATGTAAGCATTGAAAAAAAATATGTGACTCTTTGCGTCTTTTTTTCAACCCTTCAGTAATAACACAAACTCAGCGATTACATAAGTTATCTGCTCTGAGGTTTTATACAGAAAGGCAACTCACAAGAAAGAAAAAACTGCAATTGTTAAGTTATGTAACTATGATCTTTGTTTTTAATTAACTGTTTGTTTCCATTTTATACCATACTAGTCTATTTTTTGGAAGTAATCAGTATTGAAAGAGAGTTTTTTTTTCAGATATTTAACTTTAAAATTACTATTGTTACAACAGCAGATCAAATTCTGGGAAACCTAATGATGGTGAAATATATTTTTTATATGAATTGGATGTAATAAAATTCCTGTGATGAAAAACATACTCATGCCCCTGTGCTGCAGTCAGGAGGTGAGCTGTTGCTTAAAGCACGCAACGGATTTACCATTAAGTGGTTTATATGGAAAACGTTGGCGGAACAAAGAGCTTAAATGATTCTGTTGACCTCTTGGCAAAGACAGAGCAAAATTACAACGTTATTGTCCCACTTGAGAACATGTGGCATTTTAACAATCACTGAATGAAAGACATTGATACTGGTAATGGCAGGGTTACCAGATGCATCAACATCAGCTATATCCTGTGCTAACAGCAGGAGTGCACGCCACAGTCCATTAGCTGACACACAGTCATAAATGCTGTGGAAAGCCTGATAAAGCCACTGTTAGGAGACTGTAGCTTATACAGAAGGAATCAATCGCAGCATTGGAGAGAAACATGAATATGCTCACAGAGGGGAACAAGAGCCTAATCAATGGACTCTTTTTATGGAAAGTCACCATCTTCTGATGTAAAATATTGTTTGTAGTATGACAGAACAAAAGTGACTGATCAAATTTACATACAAAAAAAATACGCACATTTAATAATGCATGCTGATATGGCTGAAAAAATGTCTTTGTATTGTAGTCTTAAGTAACTCTGTCAGGGAGTTGAGAGAAATTCAAAGTTGTTTCAAATTTCAAAGCAGGCTTTTGAATATTCAGCAGCTGTTTTCACAGTTATCTGCAGGTTTTGTTGTTAAAGAACACATTAACAAACCTGTTAATTAGACTAAGGTTTTAAACAAAAACTGCCCAATAGTGGAAGCTAAAGACATGAAGCTGACCGTGAATAATAAATAAACAAGACAAGCATGCATAATACATGACTGTTCTCTCAGCAGCTGCACGGCAGAGGCCATTTCTCTTTAAATCCAGTCAACCAGAATCAATGTGGCCCAAGTAATGTTTGCCTTTCTTTGCTATACACATTCAACTATCACAGACTTTAATGTGTCCTGAGACGGTGCCACCTCATTCTAGCTCAGATCATCTCAGTGTGGAAAAAATTAGTTGGCAATCATCCGGTTGATACAATGACGCCAGTTTGTGCACAAAGAAGGAGCAGAAGACAAAACTGAAAAACAGATATGGTAAGTCTCTTATTGTATGTTTATGTGTGTGTGCATGTGGTAGGTTGAGTTACTGTCGTTCATCTAACAATTCTATGAGCTATGGATTCTGTTTGATCCACTTAAATGTGTTTTGAACAAACAGACTCGATACAACTTAAAGGAAAAAACAGAATGACAGTTATTCTTTTTGAGTATTTGGTTTAATATTTTCCAGCCCTGAATTTGATTATATATCTTTTTTTGACAATATCTAAATAAGAAAAAATACCCCCCCCCCAAAAAAAAAGATGTTCCCATCACAGCCTAAGATTAAAATACCTTGTTATGAACTGTATCCAAACCATCTGCTACAGTTTGGAATGACTGACTGATTATTTCTATTTTCACAGGTTTCAAGCTGGTCATAAGATGGCTTTTCCCAACACCTATGGGGTGGTTTTTGCATGCGTCTGTGGAGTGATCCTGGTCATTGGGCTCTGTGCCAACCTGCTTGTCTTCTCTTTGTTTGCCAAGTACAACACACTACGTAAGAACCGCTTGGACATCCTCCTCCTCAGCATGACTCTTGCCGATTTCCTAACCCTCTTACTCATACCCTTCACCCTGCACTCAGCTGTAAGCCATTCCTGGCCTTTTGGTGACACCTCCTGCAAGGTCTATCAGTTCCTGCTTGCATTTAGCCTGGCGGCTAGCACCTATTCACTGTGTGCTGTGTCCATGACCCGTGCCATGATCATCACTAACCCATACCAGCCACCCACGATGGACCTGGTCGTTCTCATGTTTGTTTTGGTGTGGGCCCTGAGTTTCTTCATCAGTCTCCCCCTTCGAATGTTTGCCACAAAGGAAAGGCTGAATCCAAGCCTGGTAAATTTCACATTTTGCCTTCCAACCATTCATGAGCATCACTACCAAGTGGTCCTGAGCCAGTTTGTACTTTATTACTTTGTTCCAATGCTGGTCATCGCCTTCAACTATGTCCGTCTGGCTCTTTTTTTGCACAAGAGCCCTGTAATGTCAATGAACAGTGCCAGGAACACCCGCAGAGCCTCCGTCATGGTGTTTTTGGCCGCTGCAACGTTCTCAGTTTGCTGGCTGCCTGGTTACGTCCTGGAGCTGTGTGTATACCTGGGACTGTATCATCACGGGCCGGACTGGGATATGTTCTACTTTATTTGCACCATGCTCCAGTACCTGCACCCCAGTGTTAACCCGGTGCTCTACGTGCTGCTGTCAAAGCGCTACCGCCACTTGAGGGCAGCCTGGCTCTTCAGCTGCAACAGGAACAGAGTGCAGCCGCAGGTCATCAGCGTCGCCACAGACAGTCTTTGAACTAAGCTGGTTTCTTATTTTGTTGGTCCAATAAACTCTTGTTTTTTTCATGAAGTTACTGTAGAGGTCAACCACTTATTTGTACATCCTTTTTGGATGTTTTTTTCATGACTGTCCATTTGTTTGAAATGGGTGGTGTTCATAATAAATATCCATTTAGCTTGAAATGAAAGATGACTTTTTTGTTCTGGCTTTAGAGACTGTAAGAAAGCAACAGAACTTAATTTTGGGAAAGATATGCAAGTAATCCATGCATACGGTTTCAACAGCTGCTTCATCCTGATCAGGCCTCCAGAGGGCAGAATCTGGGGACACCCAGCACAGGCTGCCATCCACCACTGGGTTGCACACACTCACCTAATAATGAATCAGCCTAATACGCACGGTGTTCGACTCTGTGAGACAACCAGAAGTCCCCAACATAATTCTTGGAGAGAACACATAGACACACCAAGATCTGACCTTTTTGCTGTGAGGTGACAGTGTTAGCCACTACACTATCAGGCAGTTCTGCACGACGATATTGGACAATCGTTCTGCAACAATAAACCTAGAGGTGCTAAGGTTGACCGAATCTATATAATTCACGCAATATACAAGTTGTTGTTTGTATTTTTTATTTTAATTTCTGTCACTATTGCTTAAATCTATTGGAAACATTGCCATGGAAAATATACAAAAAGATTTAAAGCACTTTATATGCTTCTTGTGTACCTGTGTGGTAAGAGGATTTTTTCTTTTTATGCACCATCAGTATAACTTTCTTATTTAAAAAATATAAATAAACTCTGACATTATTATAACAAAAAATAGAAAAAAAGGACAATTATTTTTTACCTGAAGTATCACATGTTGTAGCTGTACAGCATCAGGAAGGAATAGGTTTATGTTTCTAAAGAGAGAAAAGAAAACAGATGTTAGCTGTGAGTTAAAAAACACAGAACAATGTATTAGTGTTGTCTCATGATAACATGATAGCAGACTATAATAAAAACATGGGTGAACTGATAACTTTGTCTCCTGGGTTAAAAGTGATCTTCATTTACAATGCAGGTGTTTATCAACCAAAAGGCAGTAAATCCTCCTGTAGGATGTACTGCCTCTGATCCTCTGGTATCAAACTGCACGAAGAATAAGGAAAGCCTGTGAACTAAGTTGCAGCCTCTCACCTTCTTGGAGTTCAAGTAAGTCATCAGGACCGACGTTTTAACAGCTGCGAGTTGAATTCAACACGTGACATGCCCTCATCACTGTAGTACAGTAAGAGAAATGAGGAGGAAACACCAACAATCCTGAAATGTGAAGTAGAATTTTAGACTTCATGATGCATAAGTCTGACTGATATTGCAAATCTTCAATCTAAAACAAGAAGAAAAAGGATGATGTAACAGACTGTAAACGTGGACCTACTCCAGAATTCCACAAAACAGCAAACCAGCTGGGAGATTCAGAAATGAGCAGAGTTAACGTGTACTCTACAGACAGCGATGGGATTGGATTAATAACACAGCAGGTTGAATTCTGACAGGCATCAACGTAATAAGAGACCACCTGCCCCTCCCTATATCAGTTTGCCCCCCTGACTTTTGGCCATCTGTTTTGCGAACATTAAGAGCAGCTGGCCTGACTTGTACAGACGATCATCATACATCAGGATTTGACAAGCTGTACCATAAAGAAAACATGCCAGTGTCTCTCAGGTTCAACTTTGAGTTCAATTTGAGTTTCAGTGTAAAGGCTGCACCAACCTTTTACTGAAAATAATATCTAGCATATTCTGCTCATGCAAGTTGTTTCTTGGTCCTGTTTTGGACCATAGATTGCAGCTCAGTGCATATCTGGCTTCCTGAAGCTGGCGTAAATGGAGGAGTTTGTATGCTGTGTTTCCAAATCATGGCAATTCTTCCCGGAGTACAACCCCAAATTGGTAGAATTAATGCTTATTCGTAGATTAAATGCTAGATGGAAAAATTGCTGAAAAATTTGAGTAAATAAGAAACAAGGTAAATTAGATGAGAAATGTTAAATACTAAAAAGCCCCACCTTGAAAGTACTGCTCTCAAAATTATAGCCTTCCCACAGGGGCCATTTTTCAATAAGTCTCATATCAGTTTGGTCACATTTGGTGGAGATGAGACGGCCCAAATGCAGACATGGACTTTTATCAGCAGGATTTAGACTTGAACTGATTTATTTAGACAGAAAAGGTTTGGTGAAATGGAATATTATGAATCTGA